TTTGTATTTTTTAGGGAAGGGTCTACAAGGTGTTCAGGGTCTCGCTACTAGATTGGACTCATAGTGATTTTCCTGTTTACAGCCTCCCATGTCCTGGAATTACAGTTTCGTTCGCCATCTCAGCCTGCCCCTGGGGCGGGGCTGGCCCTGCTGGCCCGGGGATTGAAGTCCTGGCCCCTGCACCTCCTTGCAGGCACTTTATTCTCCTTTTTTTCAAAACCTGCTCCTGGCTCCCTTGTGGAGAAGCTTCTTGTGTAGAACTGTGATGTGGAGTGTGGGCCCTCTGTCTAGGTTGGAAGGGGGCCCCGGGGATGAGGGCCTTGTGTCAGACTGAGGTAGGGCTGCCCTCTCCCCTGGGAAGTAGGGGGCTATGGAAGAGTGTGGAGCATGAAGGAAAAGTCTTTTCTGGCTTTGGGGAGGAGCCATCCCTGATGTTAGAAGATAAGGCGTTTAGAGCCGTGATACACCCATAATGAGGCCTGAGCTGGGGCGGAGGACTTCAGGGTGCAAAGTTTTTATTTTTTAAATTTTTATTATTGTTCTTTTATTTTTGTTGTTTTTTCGAGACCAGGTCTCTCTCTGTGTCCGTAGAACCGCTGTAGTCCAGGATGGCCTCAAACTTGTTCAGACCTTTCCGCCTCAGCCTCCAGAGTGCTGGGGTCAGATCACAGGTGTGCCGCGCCACCTGGCTTGCAGAAGGAGTTTTGATTTCTAAAGGATTCAAGAAGTGGACCCGTTAGTCCGGCAGCTGAGGCGGGACCAGCTTGGGCAACAAGGCAAGGCCCTCTCTCAGAAAAAGAAGTAAAAGCCAAAGGGAGCAAAACAGACGTGATGAGGTGACACCTTGATGACAAAGAACTGAGGTGACCCCAGGCTGACCTGGGACCTCAGTGAGTGCAGTTAATGGGCTTCCTTCTGTGACCCTGGTCCCCTTCCATGACCTGCCTCAGGTCCCTGGCCCCAAATGGCATGCCGCGGGCTTGCCTCTGCCAGTACTAGAGATGATGCTAGACATAGCAGAGCTGTTAACCTAGCACTCGGGAGCTGAGGCCAGAGGCTCCCAAGTTCAAGTCCAGCTCAGGCAATTTAGCACTTTTTTTTTTTTTACTGTCTTTTTTTGTTTGCTTGTTTTGGTTTTTTTGTTTGTTTGTTTGTTTTGTTTTGCAATTTAGCAGTTTTAGAAGCCTCTTTACCAAAATTAAAAATCAATTGAAA